ACATTGTTTCAGAGCTATGGTCAGTGATGAAAGTAGTGCAAGAAGGAAATAATTTCCCCAGAACTAAAATGAGGAGAAGACTTCCTTAAGCCAAGAACCCTTATTTTCTTCTTTTTCCTTACTTTTTATTTGTTGTTTAATTTGGCAGCATCTGCTTTAAAGTTTGTCAGACCAACTGTTGTTAACTGAGATTTGTCTGAAGTTTTGACTTGCAATACTACAGTGTTAAATGCATTGTAAGGATGAATATTGAATTAATTGAAAAATCTGTTTCTGACTCTTAAGGTCACCTAGCCTTAAGAGCTCACAGCCTTGCTTTCCAGATCTGAGTGGTGTTTGTTAACATTGAGAAGCAGGATACCACCTTATATAAAAATTCTGTTTTTGCTTCCCTTTTCATTGTACCGGATAAAAAGCTGTCTAAGCATAAACAAACACTGATACATTATATCCAGAAACTGCTATGATATCCATTTTGATAGGATACTTGTCAAAAATTATATTTTGAATCTTACTTTTGAATGACCTTGAAGGTCAGATATATAAAATACAAGTGTAAAGTCAAATTCATTTATAGTTACTCTAGCTGTTGGACTTAATGCTAATTTTAAAAGTTGGGGTTTTTTTTCAGTTTTACACAGAAGAAATAAAATGTTACCTTAAGGACTGAAGAAACATTGGAAGGCATTTAATGTAGAAATTTTTGAACTGTCTATTATGTATATCTACTGACTAGTTTTTAGCAGAGCAGACATTGGTCTAGTGCTTAACCTACTGCTGTTCTGTGGGGGTATATAAACCTGGCAACTGGCATGATTGACCCCTTTAAGTTCTCTAACAGGAATGAAGTCAGTAGCATTAGAAAGGTCATTTTGGCAGCAATCCTGTGATTTAGAAACAGTACTAAATTTTTTGCTATACCTACTCCATGCTATGTTATAACTTTGTAACTATTTGGAATATTTATCTTAAATTCTTTCATGAAAGTGGTCCATAAATTGTATTTATATAATTTCCATTGGAGGCCTTTGGGGTAGGTATTTCTTATTCCCATTTTATAGAGAGCATGAAACAATAACATAAGAAAAAACAAATCCTACCAGTTTTTGTGTCTTTTTTTTTTTTTTTTTTTTTTTTTTTTTCCAAAATGAGAGTGGAGTGGAATCTCTGAGAGAGAAAATATCCATTTCAAGTCAAGAACAAAAATGTTCAAGACAGTTTTTGACAGAGAAACATTTTCTCCCCTCGCCTCCCATTAGCTCCATTTCTCCCTTGCCTTCCCTGATTAAAACAGTTCCAGGAAAAAATAAAAAGGCTTTAAAAGCCATAGAAAACAAACCATTGTAAAGACTTCTGATTATTTTTTGTAAGGATTTTTTGTCTGTCTCTCATAAAGGATGATACTGTACATTCACAGTGATGAACTGTTCATTTCTTTCTGAGAAAAGCTAAACCCCTTTTAGGTCATGCTGCTGCAGCTTTACGTGCAGTGGCGATGACGATGGCTGTGGTACTCATTGTTCCCGCTGCTATGCATCACCACATCTAATACTCAAAAATTCTGTGGGCCCTGATTTATAACTGATTTCAATTGTTATTAGTCCCAGTTGCTTCACAGTGACTCTCTTCAGTGTGTAAAAATAAACACTTGGATTTCTGCAGAATGAGGGTCTTAATATGTAGCTGCATAGGACTGAGTCTGGTCCTGACCTCATGAAGGAAAATAAACCATATGCAAGCACAGGACTTGTTAATATTTTCTTGAGTCCTTTCAGTGGCTTCAGTCATTGTCACTAATTTGCTTTGCTTATGGTAAAATTTCAAGTATTTGCATACTTTTATTTTGTCTGAATGACCCCGTGGGGTCTTGGTTATTTTATATTACCTTGACTGTCAAAAGCAAAATCAGATGCTGATAAAATTATGTAAATGTAAATGTCAATAAAATAAATTGTTCTATTTTTGCAGATGTTCTTCATCTGGATTGAATTTGATTGTGGATGCTTTTCTTCACACATAATAATCCACAGCTAAAGGATGAAAATGTTCTTGAAGCAAAGAAAACACATTCTGAATATTTACTGTAAATTATACACTATACAAAATCAGTCCAAATTGTTCAAACCCTTGGACAATTACAATGTTATTCTACTCACCATGCTGAGTACTGTGTAATTATCATGGTTAGCACCAGTTTGCTTGCTCTTAGTCCTGAAGGGAGATGCAAGCTTTACTGAACAAGAAATAAAAGCAGATGTTAGACTTTATTTTGTTTTCTGACTCAGCAACTGAAAATACCCACAAAATTTGAAGGATTTTTCCCCCCACTTATTTAGTTCATATAGCATTAACAAAACCAGTGCTGTTGATCAAATATGCACTGTGCTGTACATAATGGATAGTGTGGTTAGTTGCATGATTAAAGAATTTGCTAAGTTGCAACCCCCAGCTTCATTTGTAAAAAGGAATAAAAAAAATCAGAGATATTGTTCCCAGAGAAGGAAGATCCAATTAACAAGAAACACTTCATTGGTTTTCTAGTTTACAGGCTCACCCTTCTCCTTTTAAATCAAGGATAGATTTGTTTGCATAGTTAATCATGCAGGAAACATACTTCACATTAGGTCCATTTGTTTTGTAGGGTTAGTTTACCCATCCTCTTCACAAAAATGACCAGTCTTTCAGTCTTCCTTACTAAAAGCTTTCCAGTAGAACTAAATTCCTGATTTCAAGATTCAAGATTCAAGAACTTGCTTGGCTTATGGGCCAAGCTTTTTGACCGCAACAACTTTTGTGAAATTGTTGTAAGTCTTTAATATAAATGCCAGATACTTCTGCAAACTTTGAGTGGGCCTATTGTCCACTTGACATCAAAACTTGGAGCAAATGGATCCAGGAAACCAGTAATAGGAGACACCTTTGACCAGTTAGAGACAATTGTGGGATTCCTGTTGCCATCAGGCTGTTTGGCTTAGAAGACAGTAATTAATGTTTTTTATGCCTCTGTGTAATTTCTGCTTAATAAAATTTATTATATATTATATATTTATATATTTATTTATAATCTGCTGACAAATATGCTGTAAGGAACAGTCTGAAAAATAGCAACTGTTCGTGTGCTTGGCTTTCCTGTTAGATATTATAAAGTCTTTCTTTCCCTGATGAGTTAATCCCTGAAATGGAAACTCTCCAGTGGAAGTATTAGTTAAATTTAGTCTCAGCTAAGTTGTTAAAGTCTACCTGGCTCTTCAGGAATGTGTTACTGGGCAGAGCATGCTGCCATAGCTAGACACCTGGAAGACTAGAGCCCAATTCACTGTGCATATGCTCTTGTCTGAAGGTGGCAGCTGAAGAAGGCAGAAAATAGGATTAGTTGCAGGCTTTCCTTTCCTTTGCATGGTACAACACATGTCTTGAAGGAACTTGTAGAATCTTAATGTGTGGCGTGGAACTCCTTCTTGCTATAGCCTGACCCTCAAAGGTATGTGAGGTTTTCAGTGGAACTTTTATTTCTCAGTATTTAGATTGCTGTGATTTCTTTTTAAAGTGTTTTCTTCTGCTTAAAGCACTTTCAGCTTTTTCTCTGTATTGGCACAGATGTGCTCACCTTTCCCATTTCGCTTTTGTCTTTAAGCTGTTCACTATCTCTTGGTGCTGACTCTAAGTTCTACAATCAAAAGATCTTTTTTTCTGTATGGAAGCCTTATTAATTCTAGGGATCTGATTGCTTGTTTCCATATCTGTCTTCCTAACTTCTAAACATGTGCAATAGTAGAGGACTTTCTCTTCAGGGATATTGTGTGTTCCCAACAGCAATTGTTTTGGTAGGTATTTCACCTTCTCATCTAGGGTGGGAATAAAAAGGAGGGTTTTCTATCAATTTTCATATAGTTGGGCCAGCTTTTTGATTCCTTATCCTTTTAATGTTCTCTGTAAATGTGATTAGGCCATTCAATTGTTTTTATTCACTTGAGGTCTCTGTGGGATTAATTCAAGCAAATCTTCCATATGCTCGTGCAAGCAAGAGTCAATTTAAGTCTTGTGGGTCACATTTTTATCTAGGTGTGTTTAAAAGGATGAGGAACACTCTTTAAAAAAAAAGGTATTTTATAAACAAGCTTTGTGCATTTTTTAACTATTGAACAACTCTTATATGCATTGGGACCAAAAGATAAAAAAAACGCTGTATAAGAGTGTAGCATTACTATAATAATAACTTTTTCTATGAAGCCAGGTATTATTTCGGTTTATGATACTTAATTTTAGTTCACAGAAAATGGAACTTTTCCTACCTTTGGTACATCCTTGTGCCAAGCCAGCGAATAGGTGTGACTTAAATTCCATCCTCTCCTGTTCTTTTCCTTTCATTTTTTCCTTTTGTATTGACTGAGGTTATAATTTTCTTCAGCTCAAAACTCTTAATTTTTTTTTTTTTTTAGTGTAGAATATTCTGTAAGTGCCAGAAGAACCACAGTGCAAAGTTGTTTTCTCACTTATGTATTTTGTTTCATTGAAAAGTCAGTCTCCAAATATTTTTCCGAGAAGGAAAAAAAAAGTGTTGATCAGTACCTTTGTGATATACTCGCTCTATTCTTTTTTGAACTTTGTCTTGCTTGGAATGGAAGACTCCAATTTCTTAAATGGATTTGGTTTTACCCCCCCAAAAAAAAAAAAATAGGCTAATGTTACTGTGCTCGTGTGTATGATTTAGAAAGAAATGGACTGAACACACACTGCCACACACACTGAGTTGCTGTTGTGTAGGATGTTTCCTTTGGAGTGCTACAATTAATCCTGCTGAACTGAAAAAACAGCTCACAATGTGCATGTTAATAATGAACAGAAGAAAAAATAGCTTTATTGCTAGGCTTTACACGTGCAGCAAACAAAATCAGCCACAACTGCCACAGTTTATTTCTTATAAGAAAGTTCTTATAAATAAATTTATTTCTTATATATTTCTTATTTAAGTTTGCAGAAAGACTCTTAGAGTCTTTTTTTTTTTTTTTTTTATGCAAAGATCTTGAATGATAACTTGAAAATCGGTCACAAGTCATGGGCTGTCTGTGGGAGAAGCCAGCCCCAAAGAAAACCATAAGAAAATCAGGTGGGAGTCCTTTCTTCTGTGGGTAATATCCCTGGGCTTGAAGACTGCTAGGGAAGCAAAATAGCTCCTGTTAGCCACCAGAGTCTATTTTGTGTCTGAGAGAGGAGAAGGTCCTGGACTGACAGCCTCTTTTATATTCAGCACTCATCTGGCCAACACCATCACTCACTGTGAGCAGCTCTTACCTCTCACTTTTGGCAAAAATTACTCATTTAAGTCAAAAAGAAAAGTGCAGAGAGCCTCACACACGCAGGGAAGATTTCCTCTAGGCTCTTAGCTCAGCACAGAACAACTGCCCAGAGCTGAGTGGTATCTGTACTTCAGGAAAAATACACAATATCTTGGGTACTGCTGGGCTTGATGCCCATCTCCACCTTTTTTTAGCATAATGTCACTGAGGAGTTCACAGTGCAGCAGAGTGTTCTGAAATGTAGGCTGGAAAATTGCACTTCTTGTTGCATATTTTGGGTTTTGCTGGATAGGTGAACAGCTGGTTGCTTTTGATATGGATTTGGACGAGTCTTTTTGAAAGCTTTAGCTGAATCTAAGCATTCACAGCTATGTAATTATGGAGGTGACCAAGGAATCAAACTCCACAGGTACAGAGTTCTTAATTTTTTTCTGGTTTAGTAGCTTTTGTCCATCTTCAAAATCAGAAATCTGTAAATGTAGCAACCAACACAAGTTTCTGGTCAGAAAATCTCTTGTTGTCAAGTGGACCTCAGCTGTCCGAGCTGTGGTGAAGTCTGGGTTTGCCATCCCAAAATCACACTTTTGGTTCTACTCCCTTTCAGCCAGCTTTAATAAATTTGCCCAAACTCTGTCTTCTGAAATTTGTCTATGGTATTGTACTGCAACCCTGTGCTGCCCAGCAAAAACATTTCCTGAGCCTTCTTATGGCATTTGGGACTGGAAATTTCAAACTGAACAAACTGCTTGTGCTTGGACAGCAAAGCTTAAATTCAAATCACTTTTGAAGTCCTTTCTCCAAGTGCTTGGTGCCTTCTCATGTTGGCTACATGGAGAAAAGTGGGTTCCTGCAGAGGTATAGTTCTAAACCCAGAGATCTCGTCTACAGCCATACTGAGGGCTTGCTGTAATGACATTCAACTAGATTCTGTATTAAACCACTGAAAAGCTGACATTTGAACATCTGCTATTGCTAAGTAAATATTATTAATGAATAAGTAGTTCCTCAAAGGCTTGTCAGTGCTTATTCTCTGTACTTTTATCAAACTTCTGTATATTTTTTTTCCTTTCTTTCTTCCTATGAGAGGAAAATATCTTCCTTCCCTGAACGGTGGGTAAGAGAAAAGCTCTGAGGAATCGCATTAATAACCTTGCTCTCTGCATTGAATGGACAAGAACTTCTCTGTGGTTCACAGTTTTCCCAAGATAATTTTCTGTTTGTTTTCCACAGTGCTATCTAGTGAATAAACATGACTGTTCCCCACTTCCCCTCTCTCACAGCTCGCTGTAGGTGACCAGTCAGCCAGTTGCTGCCAGATTAATGACAGAAAACAGATTTTATTGTCCAAGTCATCTGTGAATGATGGGACTCTCTGTTAATTCCCATGAAAGCTAACTAATCTTCCAATTGAAATACTGCTTTTACAATCCAGGCTGTCATGGGGAGCAGATTTTCTTTTTTTTTTTTTTTAAGAGCAAAATAAACCACACACAGAATCTTTTTATTGATGCGGGAAGGAGGGGGAAGGGCAGTTTCACCTCTTTTCTTGATTTCTATTCCACTGAGGACACTTATATTTGATTGGAAATGCAAAAGCCCAGGGTAAGCTATTCTTTGCATGGCCACATGGAAGTCTCTGCTTTCTCCTTGTCATCTTCAGCAACAGCAAATGTAAAACTTACAGAGGTGGTATGTTTTCTTAGTGAGAGACTGTGCAAAACTTACTCAAATGTTGGACTCAAAGTTGGAACTAAGTGTTATATCATTGGCAAAAAGTATTACAAAATAATCTGTAAAAATTTCTAAAATATTACTAAGCCATCAATCCAGTGACCTGCTACTATTTATCTTTATATTATGTATTACTTTTGTGGGATGAAATTCTAGATAACTATGTATACAAAAATATACCTTTTGGAATATTACTCTGTTTCAAGAGTGAATGTTTGAAAGAAAGAAAGTGCTGGCACACCATTAATGCAACTCAGACTTACAGGAAATACAATATGTTTATATCCTTATTTTTTTTCTATATTGTCATCTTTAGGCATTTTGTTTTAATTTAAGGCAAAGAAAATCATAATTTCCAACAGGTGTGGGAGGGGATTTCAGGAAATCTGGTGGAATTATTAGCCTTTTTTTTTTAAGCATTTTTTTTTGAGAAGCAAAAATCTTTTATCAGTCACAGTGGAGTTTATTTGTCTTCCATGAGAATAGTTCTAGCCACAAGGCTATAATGGAGTCCAGCTGTTTTCTCTGAATCCATCCATCAGCAGCACAAGAAGGTGAAGAAGGCAAATGGTGACTGCCTGAGAGGAGAAAGAGGGCAGCAGGGTGAGGCATGGCTGCTTACCATGGAGGATCAGGATCAGGAGCAGAGAAATATGGCACCTAGAGATGATCAAGGTCAAGCTCAGCAGAAGGCTCAGGTACTACAAAAGACATCAGCAGAACACAAAGGGTTCTTCTAACAAGCAAAATCAGTTCATCAGGTTAATATGTGAGATGTTTATTTTCTATGTAATAACCTCAAAGTACATTATTGATAAAATTTTAATTAATCTATTATTAATGACTGAAGATTTTGTAAAACACTTAGGTATTTAACAAGCTACAGAAAATTAGCTCATAGAGAAATACATATATAGATAATTAGATAGTAATAATTTAAAAATATACCTATAATTTTAAATATAATATAACTATAATTTAAGAAGACTGCTTATTGTCATATAACTTTGTAAGCTATTATTTTAACTGCTAATGTCATTAATTTATATTTCTCAACACTTCACTGTATATATACAGTGATAGAAAATTTTCTATCAAAATAACTATAGGGGGAATTAATCTCGAAACAAATGCAATACAATATCCTTTTATCTTTAGGTTACAACTTGATGATCCAAACCCAGCTCAGTTGTGGCTACAATTTGTTGCTGCAAGACAATACTGGCAGAAGAACAAATGGATCCCATCAATAAATTCAGGCTGATAATTAGAAGAGACTTTTTACCCATCTGGAAAAGAAGGCAGACTGCAGAAGGTTGTGGAACAGCCTTCAGAAGAATAATGGAATAGAATGGTTGAACTTTTTGAAGATGAAGCTTGACAATTTCTGCATTAAATTTTTCAGGATAACCATCTGCAACAATGGGGGTGGGGGTAAAATAAAAAAATTTCTGCTGTGGTGTTCATCCCTTTGTGCAATAGGAAGGAATGAGATGCTGGTCCATAAGGATGAACATCTGTGTTATGGGGAATGTGGAGGCCAGGAACAGGATGGACATGGATCACTTCTCTCCACTAAGCACAGATGAGCAGTTTCCCATCCCAGGCCTGCTTTGCTGCAGTTGCAAGGAATTTTCATTGACATCAGTGAAACAAGAAGACATAAGCCAAGGAGTGGCTTCTAAGGGTGCCTAAATTTAAAGCCGATTTTGAAAGTCCTTTCTAATGCTTATACTGGAACTCCTAGATGAAAATGGCAATTGGATTAACAGAGTTAACAGGAGTCTCTTTAGTCTCCCCTTCCACAGAGGAAGGCTATATTTCCCAAAATGAGGTCTGGTAGACTGGGGGGCTGTACTGGGTTGAGGGAAGTTGAAATAGTTGGCATTTGCTATTCTGCCCCAAAATGTACTCATTGCCTATTGGTTTTACTGCACAGTTCCTTCCTCAAAATAGATTTCAAAAGAGGGCAGGCAACTTCATGGCAACTCAATCCACTGACAGCTGCTGTTCATTGCCCTGAATACAACTTTTGGCTCAGGAACACTTAAGCTGATGATTAGGAAAAGTTAGAGGACGGGTAAGGCGTGAATACGCTCACTAGCCGTGTACTGTAATGCCTCTAAAGATTCACTACTACCACTTATCAGAACTGGGGCTCTAAAATTGGTAGTCTACTCACTATGAAGCCCCTATGTTTGTTCCCGCTCTTCAAATACATTTTTCTCTCTGGGTTTTTTTTTGTTCCAAAAGAAATAGATTTGAAGAGTTTTGAAAAGTCAGTGTATTTCATTTTCAAAACCACAGTTTGTATTACCAAGAGCCATAAAGGAATATAGATGATTATTCCTTTAAGGTGAAAAAAAACTCCTCAGGAGCTTTTGCAGGAAACTTCTCAAGAAAAGAAATCCAATGGAAAAATCTATTAATATTTTTTGTTGTTTATACAATTCATTTATTCCATGGAATACATTGAGTTGCTAGGAGTTTATGATGTGAACTCTTCTTGTAATTTTGCCATATAAAATGGAGCAGTCCACCATAATCTTAGTTATGCTAGTTCAACTAGGTAATAAATTCTCACTGATTTTATCACATACTGTAAATCTGAATCTTTTATTTGCCTAACAATCTTGATTATTGACTATCATTAGATCACTAAGTGTACTTAAAATATTGTGGCTAGTACCATTTCTATGATATTTTTAACAATAGTGAAATGTTACTGAATCAGTTACTCTCTTGAACTCCTGCATATCACAGACTATTACTTTTAACTAGGACTTCAAAAAGCTTGTTGTAGGCCAGAATGTTTTTGTTCCTTTTCCCCTTCCTGACTGCTTGAAGCTCCTTAGGTGATAGGAAACAATGTAATATTTGTTCACACCCTTAAACCATTATTTGCTTCTACTTTCAGCTACTTTCTAGAATGATTTCCTAAATATATATTGCCTTTCCAAGTGAAGAGATATATTTAAACTGATTCATTCATTTGAAGGGGATGCTTTTTTTGTAAAGAAATATCTTTACGTGGAAAATTGTAGTGTGGGACTAAATGTTTTTCTTTACAGCAGCATAAACTTGGAGGGGCAAACCCTGAGAGCAGTCATTTGTTTTCTCTGGGTTAATGGCTTTCAGCTGGATGTCTGTCTGCTGAATAATGACTGTACTGCTACATCAACCAGTCTCTTCCACTGCAAAACATGTGTTCGATTAATGGCATTGACATATTGTAAGCTGGAATGAGCCTCCCCACTTGAGTTGTTCAAACATGATACATCCTACTAGAATGAAATTAAATAAGGAGACGTGACAAAAGAGGAGGATTCAAGGAAGATGATATTGTGTTCTGAAAGTGCAGCATCAAAGACACTTTGGTTTTTGACATCACTTGTGCTGCTCATTATTTAATCATTCCCATCCTGAGTATTTATTTTCTAAAGGGAAAAATTGTTTTTCATATTTCAAGTCCTATGGTTTTGATCTTTAGTATATGGTTGTACTCCTGAGTGATGTGGAAAAAAAATAAACAGTAGAAACCTTGAAGCACTCTCTAGAAATGCTGAGAGCAAAATTTGAAAAGTACTCAAGCAGCGCATAAAATGTCACGTCCCTTTCCCATTTAGTCATTAGGATTAAGTTATCCAAGTCACAGAGACAATCATAGAAAATATCCTGGGTTTTATCTTGTAGGTATCACACATGGGTGTAAAATAAGCACCCTGGCTGTACCATAACGTACACAGGTTTATGAAATATCTTTGATTTTTTTGTGATTGCAGGTGGGAAAATGCATTGTAAGCAACTAAAAAGGAAACAAATCGCCTATAACAATTCAAGGATTGAGCTGAATAGTTATTGATTTGATTTTGCCTTTCACCTGCATGAGGGAAGCTGATTATACTTTGAAGACTGAAACTGGTTTGTTTTGATGTGATAGATTTCCATTTATCCAGGCTAGCTTTTCTAGGTCCTGTTTGTTGCTTTCCCATCTGGCAGCCTCCTAGGTGGGCAGAGGTGCTCCAGGTGATGTGAGCAGGGGCACTAAGTGGGAATTGGTGAGGTCCCATATGAAAGTTCACTGGCCTCCCAGAACTGCATTCCAGAAATGACAAAAGCCATCCATCTTGTGGGTGCAGACCCTTTGGATTTGCTGACAGTAATAATTCCACCCCTAACTCTCAAGTAACGCATTAGCATTAACAGTAATTTTTGCCTCTAGACAGGCTCTGCAGTACAGCATGACAGTTCCTACCCTGTAATTGTAGGATCCTCATTAATCAGAAAGAATATTATGACATTGTGAGCTCACAAGAAAGACAATTGATGACTGACATAATAAAGGCCTAAATTATGCTGCTTTGATGATTGGAGGTGCAAATTTTTTTTTTCTCTTGTGAAAATAGGATTTAGCAGCTGTATGAAAAAATCTGTATGAAAAAAATCTGTATAATGAAAGTAGGAAGCATTGAGCAGCAAGCAACACCAGCTTTATCTAGATGAGACCTTTATTTCAAAAGGAAATTAAAATTTCAAAGCTGGTAGTGTTTTTTTAAGTGATAAACCAGAATTTAAATCAGGATCTCGAGGAAAAACTATGTGAGAAGCTCCCTGCTGCAGCACTGTATTTAGTATTTTGCTGCTATTACCCTTTAAAATTATAGAAATTTATATATTGTTTTGGCCAGCTTCCAAAATGTATTTTGACATATATGAAATGACTAATACTGAAACACATCTCATAAATTTAATGCAATTATATATAGACCTATATTCATTAGGAGCCAAAGACTGTAAATTATAAATTAAGAAAAACAAAAAAAAGAAAAACTCTTAAATCACACTTTCTTCTTCCACTGAAGGTATGTGGATGAATACATTCAGTTCCTAGAGTCAACCTGAAGGCTCTTTCAATTAGCACTGCTTTGTGTGAAAGCAATCCAATGGGAACCCAGCATCCCTTAAAGACAGAGGACTGGAGACTGGAGCGGTGTTGAGGAGGTGGTGGGCCCCAGAGGAGGGCCTTGTGTGTGGCTGTATGTGATGGGCTGAGCGTGTTCTGAAGTACTGTGATTAACTGGGAAATTCATCAAAATTGTGTTTTTTCTTCAGGGATTCCTTTCTCCAGAACAAGCTGACTGCAATATTCATGATCTAAGTAAACAATAACTTAGACAAGCATTTAAGATTCTGGGAGAGCCCCCAAAAGTCCCTCCTGAGCTGGGCTTCTCTCATGCACTGGACTTAAATTATTTACTCCAGACCCATGTCTATCCATAGGTATTTACATACGTTTTTAAGTATAGCCACGACTCAGACAGATTTCTTCTGGGTGCAGTACACTTACTCCCTCTTTTTTGGAAAAAAAATGATAGTTGAGGAGAAACAAGGGAAAAATTCTTTCTGAGAATTACCCCATTTTTTCCCCAGATTAAATATTCTGCATGCTGCTCCCTTGACCATTGTTTTTGTTTGCTTGAGATTGTGACATGTAGAACAGTCAAAATTAGCCACTGAGCATAACTGATGACGAAAATAGCAATTTTAGTTAAAAAACATTTCCTGAAATATTTTTTTGGTGGTCATAAACCAATGATTTAAAACAAGTGCGTATACAGTTTCTTTCAGGAATGACTTCAGGATAGTTCATGAAATTCTTGTTTTCTTCATAGCTCATCCCATGGCTTAATGATTCTGTGCACGCTTGGCACTACCTATGATGCAATATGAGGAGATAACAAAAAATTTCAATTTTCTTTAAATTTAAGACTAGCCTGGGATTCAGGGATGAATGCACAGTGGCATTTTGTCTTCCTATGACACAGAGGAGTGATTAAATAGGAACAGCTTAGCAGTGCCAGAGCAAGTTGGAGGTGTCCACTTTAGGAGCTGCTGGCTTTGCCCTGACTCTGCTTTTGAAGCCAATCTCCCAGCTGCCCACCTCGCTGGGCTGGGTTTGCAGGGCGAGCAGCCCCAGAGGGTGCAGACTGACCCTTCCCACAAGCTTCACCCAGAAGCTCAGCTTCCTATACTCAGGGGCCAGAATGGTGTTAAATTGACCTAAACTTCTCCTAAAATTCATGCAGTGCGTTTGTCAGGTTTTGAGCATCAGAGATTTTGGACTGTAAATCTATTCCCGTGGGGATGTGCAGCTTGTATCAAAGATACAATATACTATTTACAAAGATATTGCCTTTCCACTGAAATCCAGCGACATGTAGCAGTATATCAAATCCTGCTGGGTGTCTTTGTAAATACCATTAAGAAAATGTACTCAATATATGAATTTTTTTTTCCTATACAACTGTAATTTATTTATATCTCAAATTCTTGCAGTTGCATTTTTGCTGCCTTCAGGACTGTACCATCTGGAGTGATCTTCAGTCTCAGCCGTTTATTTAGCTCAAACATTCGTTTGTTCTTGGGTGAGCGCTCCAGAAGTGCACAGCACTTGGGCTGTGGGACTTCTGTGCCTGTGTCAATGATCACATACAGATGGTATGAAAACACAGGGATCCAGCTGGTTCCCATGGTATCAAGACAAAATTACATGGAGTGGAGAATTCCTTCTGAGAGACTAAAAACATGAAGATGTTTCTTTCAGTATCAGTCACAGATTTTTTTGTTATATTTCGCTTATCCTAGATATTAATGAATCAGACTCTTGTGAGAGGCAGCCACTGTTGCTTTTTACAGTCCTTCTTGGAGGGAACTGCCATGTTTCATCACACTGACCTGGGGTCAAAGAAACATAGGACAAAAAAATGTTCATACCTTAAAGAATCTCATGGCAAAGGCCTCATATTCAAAACTTTATCTAGAAAGGTGGATTTAATGAAACAGTGAAATCTATTTGGAAGTTATCATTAAAATCACAACATATTTTTATTGAATTTATTGAAGTTTGAAAGATACTTAAAATTAAGTATGCATATATATTTTAAATAATTAAATCTCCAATATGAAAAATTGTTTCTTTCATTGAAAATGATGAATTTTTCTTGTTGCTCAGCTGTGCAGACTTGCATAATGTCACTAAAATAGCCCAAATGAAAACTTACAATGATGCAGTTGTGTTGTTTTTTTTTTTTTTTTTTTAATCTGTTAGTGGAAATTGATGTCCTCTGATCTCTTTAAATATATTGTATGCTGTTTAATGACCGGTATTACAGATGTCAGAGAGAGATTCACCAAAATGCTAAAAATCATACAAAGAGTGTAAGAATTCAAGCAGGAATTTTTCATTTTGGTTGGTGGTATCTGCAGCTGTACACATCTGATCTTCCTACTTGTCCTTACAAACACTGAAGTTAAAGCTATATTGCTAAAACATGGATTTAAAATATAATTTTGTTTTTAGGGATTGTACTTCTACATGATCATGCTTTAGTAATATTATTATTTCATTTTATTCAAATATTGTGATGTATAATGTTAATTAATTAAATTATATTGTGTACAATAAACATACTAACAATAATAATATGCTTAAAATAATAGCTACTACAACAAAAAGAGAGATAAAAGTAACAATAAAAAAACCACCAGAAAGACTGCCCAACAGTTTTTCTCAGCAGCCAGACAAGTTCTCTTCTTCTAGGTCTTATCAGCAGTAAAGAGAATTTAATGAAAACTTTTGCAGACTTACTGGTTGCAGGGAAGAAATTTCTTCTATTATACACTGAAGAATGAAATCCATTAAATCTCTTTTAACTCCTGACTGCTCAGCAGCTTGGATGGGTTGAAGATTTCAATCTACATACACAGTACAGGTACTGTTCTTGGTTTCATTAAATGTTTCTTATTTTCAAAAGACTCTGTCTACCTTGCCCAAAATTTAAAATTGGCTTTATGAAAACCACTGTCCTGACAGATATGCATCTGACAGGAAAGGGCATCATTTAATAATAATTTCCAGTTAGGTAAGTCTAGAAATACTAATGGAGGTAATTACTTGCCAATTGCCCTTATTAAAGCTTTAGTATATCAGTCTCCATAATTAGCCTCTCTGGATGAGGACAGCATCTGGCTCTTCAAATCTCTTTCCAAGAAAGGCACTGAGGTAGAAGTCCAGGTTTCTTCAGACTCATTATTTTATGCTGAACATACACATTTTTGAAATCATAGTAGGGCAAGTTTTTTCCTTGTTGTTTTACAGTTTTTCAGGTTTGTATGGATCTCCTGATAATTTAACTAGGATATATTAGATACCCTAGCCTATTCTTACTTTCTTTTTTTTGTCCTAGTTCTTCCTTGTTCCCTGTCATAGTAGGTTTTATGACACAGATCCCAATTACAGCTAATCGTATTAAAAGCTCCAGTTATTTGAAAACATGTTAATAGGCAAGGACTTAAAAATATAGAGAGTCCTATCAGAACTCTGTGAAGTCCTTGCAGAGATTTTTTTCTCATTGGTCTATCATTTAAAAAAGAGATCTAATTCAAGAGCTTTTTGGATAATTCAAGCAAAAGAGCAGATAAGTTTTTGGAAATTTTTTTTTTTTTTTGAGCTCTATGGAGGCCAATATCTGGCAACAGCAACTGGACAGATGGGTCAAGCTTAACTGGCTTGTTCATCACACTAAAGCAATACAGAAATATTCAAACACTTCTCCTTTCAGCACGAGAAAGGGTTCCTATATTTTTACAACTCAGCAGATTTGTGCAGTTTGTTTGCAAATCCAGACTCCTCCATTGTGTATTTTATCTTTCCACAGCATAGCTAAGGACAAGAAAATTATCAAATTTCTTGTCCTTAGCAATGGCAGAATTGGCAGTTAATTTAGCACAAAACATTGCAATACAGAACTCGTTTGCAGAAACCTGCCTTAGAAGCACTGTGGGACAATCACTGCCTTTTAGCCACATAATTACTGCTCCAGAAGCTTTATCATCTTGTTAATAATTTCTATTGTCCTTCTATTGGAAATATATATTTTTTGACATGAAAAATGTATTTTATGAAATTTCATAATGGAGATGGCACTTCTTCATGTAATAAAAGGTTTGGTAATATCAGGTCTTGCTGAAATAGCTAATTGTGTTGCATTATCATATTACATTAACAGCACTTGGGAATTTAAATAAAGAACTCTTGTCCGTACAGCAGTGGCTTTTATTCAGAATTAGCATGGTGTCAGCTGGAATGCATCTAAATAGTTGAGCATAAGTAATTTTATCATCTTTTCTTTTTTTCTCTCCCCCTTCTCTGATATGACCTGGGTAGTGTCATGAAAGAATGGATCCGAGATCTGTCCGTCTGCTGCAGTTTGGAAAAGGAGTAAGATAGAAGTGTTTTTCCATATTTTCAATTTAAGTTCTACTTCCAGATTGCCAATCTGAAAGCACATGACATTTACTGATGTAGTCTTATCTAAAAGGTAAAATTTAAATGAACTGCTCCCAAATTGTGTTTCTTTCTTTCATGCCATATTCTAAATGTAAAGTGTTGTAGATTAGAAATGTTTTGCATAAACCACCCCCTCCCCCCACTTTCCTCCCCAGTTCTTTAAAACGTAAATCCATTTTGGGACAATGATACAGAAACAAAAATCTTAGATAATGACATCCAAGCTCAGTGATAGGGATAAAAATATAGTCATTTTGAAGTTCTGAAACTCATAAAATTGCCACATCTAGTTTATTCTGCATTCCCCAGAGCATTAAGCAGTTTAGCAAAAATCTAATTTCCCACCAAAGAGCTCAAGGCAGTTAGTGCTCAGTTTGGTTCCAAAGAATTAAACACACTGTTATAAATTGTGATAGTCTGTGTAACTCTGTAGATAAACCCATTTTCCAGTATAAGTGTACCAAGCATGAAAAAATAAGAGGCTGCTTTTGTATGAGGGGTGATTACAATGGAAATAAAGGTGAAATTAAAGGAAAATTTGCTTCAAGGCCAATTAATGACAATAGGAAAGGAAAAACTTGTAAAGCTCAGTGAGTAATGAATAAATCAAAGGAATTCACAGGTAAAGGATATTCAATGTCCTAACCATTGTGAGGTGTATATCTTATGACAGAGATGCAGCACACTATCTCTATGAGTCTAAAATTTTCATGCCACAGTGCTGTAGAACGAAATTAATTTTCTGGGCCCTCTAATCTGCCACTATAGAAAGTCAGGAAAGGGGCTGTGGGAGCTGTGACTTTAGTGTATTAGTCTGGACAAAAGAAGATATATGAGCTGAGAAACGCAGTTCTGCTACATATGCAGTATAAAAAAGTATCAGTGAGTCTGGAATCTGACTCAAATTGTACAGGATGTATGGCCAGAGAGATAAGAATTTTGATTTTCTAAATTCAAAGACAAAATGAGCCCGGGAGACCAACATGGCAATAACATGAAAATTGAAATGTAAGTTTTTTCTCCACACTGCATCCCCTTTACCCTTTAGGAGAGTAGAAAATACTGAGAATAAAATACTAGTATATGATAAGAAGCTACTCTATGCATTTTATAGGTCACAAGTAGCTGTAACCAGCCTCACAGATACTTTCATACCTACATTTCAGAAGGAAAAGGTAAAAATAAAAATCAGAAACTTTAAAACCAACACTACAACTTAGAAATGCCTTTGAGAAGTTGAAGATAGTTTCACCACTGACTTATTAAAACCAGGCTTTTGCCCTTACTGTTTGTAATTAAAGCATTCTTTCACATTTCTGAGCTCTCTGTCTGAGAATAGTAAGCAGAGGGATTTTGGCTGTGGGACCCAGGGACCTCCAAAAGTCAAATGCCTGCTGACTGCCAGGATGCCCTTTTAAAAGGTTACCTATGGGAGAGCTTTCTTCCCCCTGTCCCTCACTTAGGGATGCCTCTGGTAAGCTCTGCTGGAGAAAACTGTTTCATGAAATTCTGTAACACACCTGTTTCCTCCCAATGACAGCCTGATATTTCTAGATTTGCTGCAGGTGTATCTTTTTTTCCCTAAAGGAAATGTGTGCTTCACAGCAATAGGATAGAGATTAAGAGTATCCTGCCTGTTTGAGGGCGGAGATGCCATCTTAATCTCGAGAGATTTGGACATGGCTTTAAAGAGTGATTGTACATATCTCCATTTTTATTTGCATGACACCAATCCCTTGATATCAGAGCTGAACTGTGCTAGATGTGGGAGGAGATGATCTTTCTCTGAAGCTCCTAACTCAGGAAGGGTGGATAAGATGGGAGAATGTCCCTGAGATGACAATACATGCCAGTGATGGAGCTGACAACTGAACTTTGTGCTGTAAACTTCCAGCTTTAATTCCTAAATTCTCTGCTGTGCCTGCAGTGAAACTCTCCATGCCACTTTTAGCCCTTGCAGGTTTAAGCTAGTTTTCAGCAGATCCTGTGTGAAAAATCCCTTGCAGTCCTGAAAGGCATCTTGATACAGAGACCATCAAAATCCCAGCGTTTTAATGTAAAAGTAAGTCAAATGTATGTTGGATACTTTGCAAAAGGGGGAATTCTGCAAATCCTGTTGGTCATGCTATGTTCTTTGGATGCATTCTTGTTCTTGAAGTGTTTTTCCCCTGAGTTGCTTCCTTTTCTGTGCTACTCTTCCTTAGTTAACCTGAAATTTCTAATGTAACTTCATGGAATCTATTAATCTGACAGGCAGGGAATGCAGCATGCGGATTTTTACTATACATTTCATGTTTCTAACATGAAATGTAGAAACAGTATCTACATTTCTGTATGTAGATACAATTTCTATCCAGTAGGTTTCAGCTTAACGGAGCTAAATTACTAATGTCAGACAGAGTAAGCAGCACTGCTAGCACCTTTCATTGTTGCTGCTCCAGTGTCAAGCTCCCTTCCAGGCCAGATGGCAATGGTGCATATAGTTCTGCACCATACAGAGCTGTCAGATAGATAGCTTTTTTTGGTGTATGTAAAATGGAAGGCTGCTGAAATTAGGTCTTTGGACTTTATTTCAATTTGTACAGGTGTTTTCAATGGCAGTGTTCTAGATTTTTTATCAGAAGTGACCTGCCACAGAGAAGAGTGTAAGAGAAAGTCAAGATTTTGATGGACACAGATGGAGCCAAGCTAATAATTAGTTTCCTGCTCCTTAATGTTTTTTTTTTTCCTTCACTTTCTTGTAGAAAATTTTCTCATAAGCTAATACTTCATTGAAGGGAACCTCTGTGTTGCACTGGAATATATGCTGTCAAATGTCAAACAAAATACATATAAATCCCATTTTAAAGCTATCCCAGAATGTCATCTGAAGTATTCACTGTACGGATTGCCATTGTTGGTGTCTGTATTTTTTCTCAGTCTTGCCCTTTGGTAGGAACAAAAAACTAGTCGGAGGCTGAGTTCTGCTCTTTGCTGGTGTATTGTTCATAAAGCAAGAGAAGTGGTGAATCTTTCACTAAAAAGAAACTTTTATTTTCTTAGTGATGTATTTTCTAAGTTATTTTTGACAACTATTATGTTGAAATGTCAATGCCTAATCCATTCTTCTACTATGCAGGGAGAATAAAAAAAAAAATAGCATCAGACTGTCTGATCTCCAAATATTCTGCTTATAGTCAGAAATGAACAGGCCATTTTCTCCTGAATCCTTACATTTCTGGGCTTTTACCAGCCTCTGGCATCTTGAAACAGCAATGAAACCCAGGTGATATTTACGGAATCTTATCATTACCCCAGTTATATTTCAATGAATGTAAGGTTTTCTGAATGCTGCCAAGGAAGAGCCATGCTGGGGTGGGGATAGGCATGCTTGGGCTGGAAGTGTGCTGAGCAGCCAGTTCCAGCCAGGCACAGTCTACGGGAAATATTTGAGTTTGAAGGGAACGTGTCTGCTTCCAACATGTTAAAGTAATGAATAAAGAAAACCAGGCACTTGAGAAGTATGGCTTAGAAATGCTCAGAACCCTTATTGCCAATGCATATTACAAATAATTTTTCTTTAAACTGGGCTTCCTGCTAGTAGTGCCACATGATTTAGGGTGAACCATGGTTGCATTTTGCTGTCTGCAGCCTAGATGGAAAGTCTTGTCTTTAGATGCCTGGTTACCTGGCTGAAGGTAGCCTTGCGTCTGTAAAAAGCTATGACTACAAACAAACAACAGAGGACATTTGTTTTAAATGCATCATTGTGAATATAACAAGGTAAAGAAATATGAAAATATATGCTAAAACCTGGAGTCTATTGTTTTATGGTGTTAGAATTTAAATTTTTTCTCTTTCTGGAATGAAGATGCCTTCTGAAAAGTAATTTTACAGGGTGGAAAGTGAGCAGAGGGGAGAGTCTTTCGGGGTACTAATGTTCTCTGCATATATAGAATACTCTGTGGAAAATAAATCTATCAGGTTAGCACACGATAGGCTCTTTGACCTTTTCATTTAAAAGATCAGGCGTGACAGAACAATAATAATAATAAAGCTTTTCGGAAACTCTCTTGAATTGCTAACTTTTATTAGCTATACTTAGATCTAAGTAGTTTAAGTCTCCCTCAGGGACCACTGCTCTATTCCACTTGGTTAACCATGCTTTGTAACTTGCCTCCTAACCATTCTTTTTTAAAAGAAGATATTACACAGTTCTACTTAATAATGTACTGCATGTGTTTTTACAGTAGATAGTATTAACTAGCCACAGTGTCAGTGACGTTTCTTAACAGCCCCTCTCCTGTGTTGGTTCTCTTTCCCTAACAGGTAAATTTATCATTTCTACCACTCTGACATTTCCAGCTCTGCTTCCCAGGACCAGCTTCTTTTTCTCAGTAGATTAGTTTACATTCTTCAGGATTAAAAAGGTTTAGAAAGCAACAGGGAGTTGGCAGGAAGAGCATGAGATTTTAGAAATGTCAAAAAGTGTCAAACTGGCAGACATGTGGGGGACAGAAGCACTTTTCAATCAGTCTGTGCCAGAAATAGCATCACTAAGAAAGGACCAGGGGGCACCACAGAGATGGTAATAAAACTTTCTTCTGTTCTAAGCTGAGAAGGGAGAGAGATTTTCTCACTCCTTGAGGCAACCAAGGCGCAATAAATCAAGCAGCAGGGCTTACAATATAATAAATAGCCAAACTTACTAAAATAGCTCCATAGGGGTGTCTAGAGGGAAGGACAGATATAGCAGGATAAGACGGCTCTTAGCTGTACATTTGTTTCACTGCATTTCTTTTTATTTTCCTACCTTTCTATTTTCCTCTGCTTTTTTTTTTTTTTTTTTTTGGCTCTCCTTTTAGAAAGCATGTGAGAATTGCTTATAATGTTATAAAATATAATACGTGCCTCCTGTGGCAAAGATTAACAACAATGCTGCTGCTTGGTGTGGGGCAACAAACAGCAGCAGTATCTTGACAGGCCCCAGAATTAATCTCTATGCACTTAGGCTTCAAGTATAAATTTTTTCTAGTGGTGAATTACATCCCCCACCTCTCCTGTGCGATATGTGTACTGGTTATGGCTCTTTTGTAGGTGCTAAACTGTGCACAGAATAGCTCATGGTACAATGTGAGTATGGCTTGGTGGGATAGAGAGAGAAGGGAAGAAAATCAGTGAAGGAGCTGTGAAGGTCTCTAGAAAGACAAATGGAAATCTAAGTTTTGCACTGAGGCTAAACCAGATTCTTTGTTTTTCTGGACCTGATTCCTCCCAGCTCAGATGACAAAAGGTCATTTCTGTCTGGCAGTCTAATGATTCTACTAATAATTTTCCTTTTTCATTCCCTTTCACTCACTTCAGCACTCCATGAGTTCATCCTCTGCCTGGTAAATTTTCCCTTATAGTAGAGAATGATGCAAACATCATATGTACTTTGAGGGCAAAGTCTTGTTTATATTTAATCTCTAATTTGGAATCACCTACTCCAGGGGTCTGGCAGAAGACCTGCCTTAAAATTTTTTTCTCTGAAAGCAGTCCTCATTT